GAAGTTCTACGGCGAATATTCCTTAGGTGTTCCCCCGTAAACAGAAGCAGGCCCTCCTTCACTGCCCCGCCGTCTTCAGAATATGACGTCATCTGCCGCCACCGTCGAGCTCAACGAGGCTTACCGTAATCGCTCCGGCCTGAAGCTGCTACATAATTTCTTCAATGGATTAACTGTGAATAGCTTCCCAGAGACATTAGCTGTGACTATGCAAAACCGCTTTTGACCAGCGTTTCAGGGACGTCGTAATGGTCTATGGTACCTCGACGACCTCGTTGAGCTCGTACCGTGAACCATGTTTCCGTGGGAAAATCTTCTGATGTCGTCGGTGTAGAAGGCTGTCGTTTAGATAGATTAGAATGTGCTCTTCAATACTGAGTTGGGGGCAGTCGATTTGATTCTAGCAAAGTGTGATTAATGCTGTCTGAAATGTGGAGTCAAGTGTCTCTTTTTTTGGCCACCCCTGTAGTTGGACGATCTGAAACAATCGAAAAATCGGCTCAAGACTTTTTCACCATCCCAAGTATAGGGAATCCGTCAGGGGAAGAAGATACCCTGTTTGGGAGTTTTCATAGCTCTTTATAGACAACTCAACGAGGTAGGCCAGCGTCAGAAGCACGCGGGCTTTCATAAACAGTTTGGAAGTAATTGGCGAAGAGATTTGCCTTAGCGAGATCATCTTCCACTACAGAACCTTCTGGAGAAAACAAATTTGGAATGTTATCAGCAACTTTTAGCTTTTTTCAGGCAATAAGAGTAGAAGCGCTTAGCGTTTTTATGCTGCGCTATTTTCGCAGCTCAAAAAATCCTGATTAGGAAATTGTGTGGCATTTCATTATAAATGAGAGACAGCTCTCTTGGCTATCCGCTATCAGGGCGAGGTGGTTTTCACTGGCCTCTCCGTGAGCCATTTCATCATGACATCAAGTGCCGGGGGAAAGAGAGGGATACAGAGATGATACTTGGTGCATCAACCGTGACATCTACCTCTTTTGTATAGCTGTGCGGGGTGCCGCCTTAGTCCCATCGTACATATCCTTCACCAGAGAGATCAGGTGTTCTGGCACGTTTCGTTCTGAGCGCTCTCCATAGTACTGCTCGCGGTAGCCGGTCGAACGCCTTCTCCAGGTCGAGGAAGGCTAGGTCGGCGCTTTTCTCGATACTTCTCCATCACTTGCCTTGCGATGAAGATGGCATCCGTTGTAGACCTTTCGGGCATGAACCCGAACTGTTCCTGGGAGATCAGGATCAGCTCCCGCAGCTTTGAGTCGGCTAGCTGCCGGCTTCATGGCATGCGCAATCAACTTGATCACGCGGACGGGGACAACAGCACTTGTTCTTCAGGCATCCGTCATCTTTCACTCCGTAGCTACCTTGTTCAGGAAGCTGGTGAGCCATCCTTATGCCGTACTCTTGAAGCGCCTTCCATGCCTCGATTGGCACCCCATCTGGACCAACCGCCTTTCCAACTTTCATCTTTCCCACCTTTCAACAAACCTCATCTTCTGTCCATAGTGAGAGCGAGTCAGCCGTTGCCTCTGATGGGTAGTGTACTTATGGGGAAACTCGCTCAGAAATCCCTGTGGTATAATATTTTCCCCTTGCCTTTGACTCCGGCTGGCTTCCTCTGGATCGTGCTGCTTTTACACTCTTCGCGACCCTGATGTCCTGGATAGCTCGATGCGTTTAGCCAGCCTGAAGACGAACTTCTCTGCGTTTCTGCTTTCCAACTTCTCGTACAAGGCGTCCATCTCCGTGTTCTTCGCCTTGGCGACGGCAGCCTTAGCGAGCCTCTTGCAACTCTTGTAGGCAGCGAGGTCCTCGGGCTCCGGGTCTTCTGCCAGCGCTTGTATGCTTCCTTCTTCTGCTTCACGACTCGCTGGACCTCCTCGTTCCAGAACCACGCTGCCTTGTCTCCTCTGAATCCACCTCGCGTCTCATCCCAGTATTTTTTGGCACATCGTAGAATGCCACGTTGCTCCAAGTCCGCTGTATGGCCCGTTAGGATCTGGGAGACCAACTTCCATTATCCTTCGTTTGAGGTCATCCTTCTCCGCTTGGTGCAACTTCCACCACCGGATTCTCCTCTCGGTTCTTACCCTTGTCTTCTTGGGGAGGTCTATGCAATGTCTGCCAGGAGGGGCCTGTGCTGAAAAGCCAATTCTTCGCCAGGAGTATCTTGATGTCCTTCAAGTTCTGAGAAAACCCCTCCACTGCTTTAGGTTAGCTTCTGAGTCTTCCTTTCCAAGAAGAACGTGCTGCAGACTAGCCAAGTGTAGAGCCCCCTTTCCTTCAGCGCTTCTCCATATCCCTCTACCTCCGTGCACCCTCTCAAGTACACGGACAGTATTGTCCAGTACTCTCCCTCGTATCTATCCGCACAGCCATGATTTGGTCGCTGATCCTGTTCACAGCAGACACAGTTGCAGAGCGACTGCGCTTCCGCTAAGGCCACGCCATTACGTTTCGTGTTCTTCTTCCGTTCGCTAGGTACTACAATACCCGTCCTAATTGTTCGACAAAAAGCGAAGAAAACGCAGATCTGCGCTTTTTTCGTTTTTTCGCTGTAACTAAGTCAATTTACGTTTTTTCTATGGAGAAACTTATACCATTGAATTCAGCGCATCGAGCTCTACAAGAATATGGAAAGAAATCTCAACATAGCCTGTTTTTGAACACCTCGCTCCAAAAAAGTTCCTGAGGGTATAATTACAGCGAACACTCTCGCTCTAATTATAACCACAAGGCATCTGTATGGATTTAAAATATTCAGTGAGCTCTAGAGCGGTTAGTTAGGTCCAAAATGGAAGGAAATGCAGAGATGGTTGCACTCCTTGCATCGTGCTGATCATTTCGATGCTGAGTTTTACAGAAATTGGTGACTTTTTGCACGAGTCAATTTTAGGCGATAGAGTCTTTTCAGATCGAAATATTCGAAATGCAGGCTGGACTTCAGATCTCACCTAAAAAGTGTATGCTCTACAAAACTAGCTCTTTTTTCTGCTTCGCAAAACTTGGGCCTGGCACCAAGGAGTAGCGCTATTTCTTCGTTCAAAGACCTTGTTACGGCAAGGTCTTCAAAGAGAGAGTACGTTTTCCTGCCTTTTCAAACGATATTTACTGTACATAGAAGTAATATAATTATTCTGTGCAATCATTGCATGGAAAGCCTTTCACGAGGTTAAACCATTGATATGAGATGTTAATTTTTTTCACGAACCTACGAGTGCATAACATCTCTCAAGTTTGGGGAAAACTCTTGAGAAAATGGCCATTTTTCAATCAAAACATATCTTCTGGAAACCTATAACATTCAATTCCTTATGAATAGATCTAGTCAGTGATATGAAAATCGCCTTACAATTTCTACTTCGATTTTACCAGTTTTGTGCCTACTATTTCCCCAGCTCGACCTATCGGCTCTCTAACCAGCCATCGCGCCCAGGCGGCTGCGACAACATCAGGACATCATTGATCAGGCCCACAGTATCGCTTCGGGATACGCCATACATTCGACAGCCTAGCAAAATTCTGAGAAAGCTCGAATATATCCATGATCTGCATGCAATACCAATTATCATGATTGATCTTTGAACAATGATAAAACACAGATCATACTTGGACTTATCTGGAATGCGCCATGTATTTGACATCCTTATAAAATTGTTTTATGATTGAATTTGCATGCATTGGTGAGTTTGAAGAAAAGTGTATTTATATTTCAATCATTTATCAAAATTCAGAAATAATGTTGCAATCACATCAAACATAATGAAACAAACAAAAGATCTAAGTTTACCGCCCCTCATAGATGTTCTTTCCGCCTTGTTCGACCACTCGATGAAGTCTCTTACGAATCCCCAAAATGTACTTGGCGCAGACTGCAGGAGTGAGTGTCTTCCAGAATACCAGAACTGCGTTTCGGAGCTCTTCCACGGTTCGGACATTTCGCTTTCTTGAAATAATTGGTGGATTCTCAAACGCTTTACGAACATAATCGGAAATCATCAATCAAATGAAAGCATCTATAACCTGACGAACGATTTCATGTTGCCCCACACAAGTTCAATTGGATTCAAATCAGGAGACTCTGGTGGCCAGTCGAGCAACTTGCTCTTCCACATCCCTAAGCGTGCAGTTGTGTACGCGCTTTTGTGAGCAGGAGCGTTGTCCTGCACCAGAACACCGTACCCTTAAAAGTGAATTTGCTAAATATTAAGCATATATACGCAGCTTTACTTTTCTTAAGCTCAGCCGATTGTTTCAAGCTATTCATTTTCCAAAAACCAACCATTGAAAATCTTCCTGGAGAATGGAACATAGCATCGACTCAAAATTTGACAATACTTTTCGCTGTCCATCCTCATCTCACCAGGGAAAATGGCTAGCTCCGTTGCACCTCTCATGGATATTCCCCCCAGAGGTGAAGCTTAGCTGGATGCTTCGCTCTTGTGCGAAGTCGTGCAAAGTAATCACCTTTCTTCACATAGCAGTGCTTGACGGAGCAGTCAACTAGAAAGGTTTCTTCAGAGCGTGGGAAACGGTAAAAAAATGGAGATCATAAGAGGTTTGAAACGCACTCTGAATTGTCGACTCATCAGTGAAGATACACTGACTAAAATCCTCATTAGTCTCAATCATTCTAGTGCAGAAGGTAAACCTTTTCTCCTTATTGACGTCTCGAATCATATGGCAATACTTCGTTGTTGTCCTTAGCAATCCCAGTTTCTTCCTCAATCGACGTACCTGCGCAGCACTGATAGAAATATTGCGCTCATGGAGGCGTCTTATTATATGAGCAGTAGTTGTCGAAGAGTCTGCCGAAAAGCTGTCCTCGATAATACTTTTGATTGTCCGCAATACGAAACAAAATTTACGGGCTCGATAACCAGCCTTTACGGAAGGAAGTCTGCGAGTACAGTGTTTCTGTAGGAATATTCGGACCTGGTGATAGGTGATCGTAGAGTCTAGAGCAAGAAGCTCTCTATGAATCTCCGAAAATGATTTGCCAGAACGGTGCATGGGAAAAATAATGTAGCTGAAGCGAATGAGCGACATTAATCCAAAGTAGTAATCAGAACCTTAGTGAAGCGACAATGATGGCCTGATGCAGATTACCTTTGACTTGGGCGACAATGGCCCAGCGAAGGTCATGCACGGTACAGCCTATGGGTTCTAACATGGAAGAAGGTCTCAGGACGGGACCTGGAGGCGCCATATAAAAGGATGACAGAGCCTAGCCCAGATTACCATCATGACTCGAGCAACTCACGCCATTGTGTTCTTCACAACTTCGAAAACTTCTGACATCGTGCCGTTGACAGCTGTTTCTGGGAATCCTATCGTCAACCGTAGAGCTAAAGTCCGGTGGAATAAGAAGACTTACAACGCCAAGGTAGGGGAGTAATTTCCATTGATTTCACAATGTGTTGCTGCATTCCTTTCTTAAGATCGTCCACATTGCCTCCAAAGCCTTGTGCGAGCAGAAGATAAAGGACGTGACCGAGAACGGCACACTCACGGACAACTTCTTCACTGTCGCAGAGAGCAGTGTCATCCTTGATGATTTGAACTGCGCTGCAACGAGCCCGGATCCGGTGGCAGAGGTAGTCCACCAAATGAAGGCGGGAATGGACGAACTCTTGGAACAAATGATGATGATGAGAAGGAACACCACAGGTGCTCTACGTGAGTTCGAAATAAAAATGCAAGGATCATTCACTCGTCTGGAGCGGCGAATAATTTCTCTAGAATCATCGGTAGAAGAAATCAGACTTAGAGAAGAACCTACGTCCGCAGGTAGTTTCATTTTCTTCTATGAGAGTAAAACTTGCCTCGCCTTCTAATTATTATGTTTGATTCAGAAGATGGGATAGATTACTGTCTTATGTCGCGAGAGCGGGTGGAGGCCTTGCTAGCTCTGAAGTACGGAAGGCTCACCAAATTTGCTCTAGCATTAGAGCAAGAACTCTATGAAGGTGACAACTCGGAGATGCTTTTAAATGTAGAGGACAGAAAAGTAACAGTAAGAAGAGTTACCTTCATCCGAGAGGTGCTTATTTATTTCTTCTTCCTAATTCTTATCAAGCTAGGCAGACTGGAAACATTTCACAACTGAGAAAAAATGGGAAAAAGCAATTTCATCTCAGGTTGTCTTCAAGTACTTCAACGTCTCACAGAGCTCGAAGAAGAGCGTGTGGCAAACGGTAAAGAACGCTCTTAATGGCAGAGCTCGAACATTACGACTTCGCACCACCAGTATATCACCGACACGCCAGCTTCCCCTTTCATCTTCATTGGATAGGGTGCTACGGACTCCCTCGCGAAATGAAGGGGTGTATGAATATAGTAGGAGTTCTTCTCCTGAAGGTAGACTCTTTGAAATGTAATCGGTTGCGTCAATAAAATTTGCATTTGGATAAATGTTCTCATGGATTTCGAACCGTCTCTACGGCGGAGATGGCTGCATTCAAACGGGCTGTGAAGCAGTAGCCAGTAGGCCACTGTAGAGGTGCGAAAAACACCTCTAGTAACTACTGAGGCTGCCGCTCAATGCCTCTGACACGCTGAGGACGCCTTACCTCAGCAGAAATGGTGGAAAAGAAAATTCACTAATCTATAATCAGAAAGAATATAATTCTCAAATGTACAATCTGGATGCAATTTTATGAAGGAGAAGTTTACATGGCGTATCCCGAGGCAATACGCTAGGTGTGACCAGTGATTTTCTTTCATCGCGAGAATCAGTTTTGATAAAAATTATTCTACACAGATTGCATGCAAATTCAATCATAAAACAATTTTATAAGGATGTCAAATACGTGGCGCATTCCAGATAAGTCCAAGTATGATCTGTGTTTTATCATTGTTCAAAGATCAATCATGATAATTGGTATTGCATGCAGATCATGGATATATTCGAGCTTTCTCAGAATTTTGCTAGGCTGTCGAATGTATGGCGTATCCCGGAAGCGATACTGTGGGCCTGATCAATGATGTCCTGATGTTGTCGCAGCCGCCTGGGCGCGATGGCTGGTTAGAGAGCCGATAGGTCGAGCTGGGGAAATAGTAGGCACAAAACTGGTAAAATCGAAGTAGAAATTGTAAGGCGATTTTCATATCGCTTGTTTCATTCCAACGTTACTCCTTTTTGCAATTGGAATGATGTTGAGATGTTGCACCAAATGTCCCTCACCCACTGAGGTCCAAACAGACCCAAATAGATATACAGTCGATATGTCGAAGTCTGATGGGTGTGTCCCAGGAAATGACGTGGCAGCCACAGTGATAAGATGTGTGTGGATAATAATACTCCGCTAGATATCACAAAGCGTTGGAGTCAGTGTTATCCGCAATTCATCCGTAGGTTGCTGCCTACGTCCTTTCCGTTGAACGCCCCATCAACTTCGAGATATCAGACCTGTACTCTCTCGCCTTCAAAGACCCCAGAAATTTGCAAGCAGAAACTGACGTGGCCTAACGTGCATATATCAAAAAATCACTGCGCACGTGCAGTCACTTTTCTCGAGAATTTTAGCCACGGCGTATCTATCCTCCTGAAGAAGTTAGGGACGTAAAATTCCTTTAAATTTTCTTCGTACTCCCAACGAAGATTACTGGTAAAAGGCCCACGTTAAATGTATGCATGCAGGTGAAAGTAAACGTGTATTGGAAATAAAGAAACTGCTACATTCGTAGTGACGTTCAAACGCGATGTGGCCTATACAATGATTACGATCTACACGACCCAAAACTCGATCCCGAAACGCGCGCCGTTGTAAGGTGCCACTTTCCGCTACCTCCATCTCGCCCACAGAAGCATTGTTCTTATAAGTACATTCAAATTACAGAGCAACGTGCAGGTCTTTCTCTACGGCGCTTTTGGTATAAGGCTCGTTTCGAATACGACAAGCTTGAGCGATAGAATGTATAGAGCGTCTATGTCAATTCTGCCTTCTCAACGAGAGGATCGTATGCTCGACTTTCCAGGATCGTAGAAAAGTACTTCAAGCGTTGAAGGGCGAACTTGGAGTAGCCGATGTCTAAAATTGTGTTCCAAGCTTACAATCCCTTTCAAATGATCACAAATTTCGATAGGGAATGTTGGACTTGTTTCTGCGAACCCTGATGTGCGAGAACGAAACTAGAAGGAAATTAGCTGGGTATCACTTTCTTCATACTAGAAATGAAGATATTCGTAGAAACATTCAAATGCATGATGTGGTCACCAAGAACTTAATATTGCGGAGCAATACTTCTCCAGTAACTTCAACAAGAATACTCCCCAGTATGCTTTCACTTACTAAGGCTCATCTCATAGTTTTATTTTTTATATCCGCTTAAATATCCTCTGACGGAAATGAGCCGCCACCCACGCCTTTGTAGCATAGACGCCAACATCTCAAATCAGCATAAAGCACAGAATCTCGATTTTGTAGTCCCTGCACTTATTTCGGCTAGACGGCTGGCGCGCTCCACGGCTAATTTCTACAGTATGCCAAGCCCTTGAATAAGGACATAAAAGCCTTTCGTGGCGAACTTTCTCGTGGTTTTCCTCACCAATTCACCACCTCATTGTTTGTTGTGTAAATGTCTGTTCTCTAGGATGTCAGTCAAGGATGTGGCTGAAATAAAACTCGACATAGAAAAGTCCGTTAAACGAGAAGGCACGTTCGACGTATGGCCGGACGCATAGTCGGTCGGACGACAGCAACGACTGCTGCTGTCGGACGACAGCAACGACTGCAGGTGTCGCATAAACCGCGGTCGCAAATGGAAGGCGACGCGGTCACCCAATGCAAACCCAGACAACACGTGACTGCGCGTGATCGTATTTCGAAAGTCCCACTGTAGTGTGGAATAGTAGCTGCGTATTAGGGGGGGGGGGCCACGCGGCGGCGCGGGGGGGGGGAACAAATGATCTTGCAGTCGTTGCTGTCGTCCGACAGCAGCAGTCGGACGACAGCAACGACTGCAAGTGCCGCAGATCGATACGCACCCAATACTGTGCGACACTTGCAGTCGTTGCTGTCGTCCGACCGACTATGCGTCCGGCCTTAGAATCAAGGTTCGCTATTGTAACCTCTGACGTTCCTAGATTCGTTCAGTTATTTTGTTCTGTTTATTTTAACATCAAGTCGCATCGTTGACAAAAGAGTGATATTAGCGTATAGTTTCTTGACATCACTGAAGTGCGGGCTGCATCGATGCTCTCATCCATTATAATGTTACTAACATAGTTTACCTAAAGATACTTTGTTGAAGATTCCAAAAACATCGACTTTATCTTTCTCATAACAGACAAAACGTTCTGGTACCCTTACGCTAATCGTAAGGCACACTCGTGTAATATAGGAAGGAAGCACAGATACTCAATAGTTTCGTTGATTGCGTAGTTCCAGTTGTGCGTCAGCGACCCCTCAAGTTTTGCAAAGTGTATGAAATCACGTTTCTACTAAATTTCTCGATTTCAATGTTGCATGGCTTTGAACTGGTACAGAACAATTTTGACTTAGGATCAGATTTTCGCTTCAATGCCTAGGCATGATCTAATGTGGGAGAACTAATTTGCTTGTACAGAAGGATGTTCACGCATCTCGTAAGTTTCAAGCATCCCTTAACTCCTTACCCTAACATAAAACGTGTCGCTGAACAAAAAACTTACCTTGGGAGCCGCTACAAGAAGGTCGACGGACTACTTGAACTCAGCCCTTTAAACCTCCTCTGCGCTCTCTCGCGGGTCCCTCTCCTCTCCAAGGCTTAGTCCTAGGGCATTCACCCGTTCTCTAATCGTCTGTGCTCTAGCCATCGCGGCAGGACCATTGAGAAAAATCAAGTAGTCCGTAAACCGTATAAGACCTTGACAATGTCACTCGATGATCTGCCCATACTTGATAGCGTATTCGTGCCGATTATTATGCTTAGTTCTGAGCGATTGGCCCCGTGTAAATGCGCGCGTTTACGAAGGAATGTGATGGTTCTTTGATCGGTTTTACCTCATTTAATTGTTGTTTCTTATTTGTATTGGTGCATATGCGATTGCAGCCGCATTTCCCACTCTCACAAGCCAGCAATAAATGCCAGCAGAGCCAAGCTAGTTCGGAGAGCCCGTCCGGCCCATCCTCCCTCCTTCAGAGGAGAGGTGACCCTCATCGATGTCTCAGCGCCGATTTTCTATATTTTTTTTTTTTTCATTTACAATCCGCTCGGCATCCACAATTTCATTATCAACCGCGTTTGTCCCCCCCCCCCCAAATCGATCTGGGGGTGTTGCTTTGATGGAGGAGAGGTACTTTCGTTTCTGGATGTAAGGGAGCTCTGCGTGTGTGAACAAATGTTCATGCGCGAAGGTGAATTTGTACCTTATCCCGAGCTGCTGTCCCCTTCAGGGCCCTCATTCCCTTACTCACAACCACCTAGTGCCAAAAGCTGGACAACATAAAGAAAGTTGCTTCAAGATGAAGTTACAAGGCCTACGTACTTTCAAAGCCTCATTATGTAAAATTGGGCTTTCGTAACACCCACGAACTATCTAGCCGTAATGCCGCTCCTTAGGTGAACTACCTACCCTTGAGGAAGCACTACTACGAGTTGCTGTGTTATTGGTGGCATTACAACATTCCCCAAGTTTACAATTTTTTATTTGAGGCGGTTCATAAGAATATCCTATTGTGATAGTTACGAATTAAACAGTTGATATAACTTTGTTTCAGCGAGTTTCTCATTTTATTATCCTAGCTCGGGAACGCCTGTTGGTCCATTCATTCATAGCGCTTCTTTTGACTGATGCATACTAGGCACTGCCAAGCAACAATGAAAAGAGTGGCATAATGCGAGTTGATGCCAGCGGTGATGTATTTTACGCATTGCGAGTTATGAAAGCGGCGTGGAACGTTTCACTAACATCGTATTCATTTGTGATATGAGCAATATTTTTTATTTGCTATTTTATGAGATCATCATTCAGAAGAAGGTTGCCGTTGATATCCGGAACATGGTTCGATGTAATCCAGAGCGTTTGTCGAAGGACGACTTCAGGCGTATGATCAGACATCATCTTCGCACCAAGTCAGAGATAAATAGAAGAGAGAAAAATGGAGATAGCTCTTTTTTTAAACTCATTCTTACCAAATTTTTTATCAGGTACATGCCCGAAATCACCGAAAAAGTCAACTCTTCCGTGGATCGCAAATGGTTAACGTCACAACTCGCAGACAATGTCAAAGAAAAGGTGCATTTCCCTTCCATTCAATCTCTCCATAGTGGCCCTGCCAGTTTATCCTGGTTGGGATGCATCTTCCTCCCCTCTCAGTATACTGGTTGATCAGGTTGGTTAACGAAAGGCAATCAAGACGTTGTTCTATTTTCAAGAAAATTAACTGCACAATGGCCTAAAGTTTGGTTTTGATCTCGATTGAGTGTTCACTTTTGTCCCGAAGCCTGTCTGTCCAGCCTCTTTTCTGTTGTATCGGTTCCTTGGAAGGGTCAGTGTTAGGCTGATGTCAGAGTCCGCGATCCGTCGCAGGTTTCGCTGATTTTAGCGATTTGCGCGATTTGCGCGATTTCGCGATTTGCGCGATTTTCGCGATTCACGCGACGGGTCACGGAAATCACAAGTGCCCGATC